GGCTATATTAACTCAAGCGCACACTACACAAACTTGACGCGGTTTTTACTCTTGCTCAATATTGAGCAAAATCCGCACAAAACTGTAACCTATTTGGCTTACTGTATACACAAGCGGTGGATTATTATTCGTTGGGTACCGCAAGTTTTTGTGTATTTCAAACTAATGTCTTGTTGTTTCTCTTGTTCTCACTATTAATTTGAATTCCTGTTTGTATCTGTTTTAATCCGTTTATATTGTTATGCGTTTGAAGCAAGGCAATCTTTCAGCAAGGTTCTTTCTATTTATCTATCATTCCTTTGACAGATGAACCAATGTCGTGTTGTCAGGGCTTGTGTTAATCTTGAAAAAATAATAAAATGCTCCATATTATATTTTTTACGCGTGTCCATAAAAGTTGCAGTGCCACTCAGAGCTTTATAACACAAAGATCTGAAGGGCTCTGTCACTGCGCCCGTCACCCTTACACATAGGTTGATAAGTCTCATGTGCCTGTAATTACTCCAACTCCCTTTCCCTTCAAAAATAGGTAAGATGACAGTACTTTAATAGACGAACTCTTTCACAAGGAGCTCTACTGCAACATTATTATCAACATTATCTGTACATAGGGCGCACTATAAGTTTCCGGAATTGGCCACTTACATAAACAATATTTAAAAAATTATTACAACATTTGAAAATGGAACTCCTTGGCTGTAGAATACAATTCGATTCGTCTAACTGACACTTGTTTTTACATTGTGCGTCATTTTATAAATTGGTTGTCTACATCACCATTGATTTAACTCGTGAAATTTTCACAGTATGATTTTCTACGACTTCAAGTGTAATTTAACAGCTCAGCGGAGCTTCACTCGGCTTCAAACTGCTTTTGGCGATGAAGCACCATGCAAGACGACTATTTATAGCTGATTTGCAGAATTCAAACGTGGTGGTGTCAATCTCAGTGACGAAGTTCGTGATGGTCGCCCGTCCACTGCTGTGAACAACAAAAACATCGACGCTGTGCGCCGTATGATCAAAACAGACAGCATGTGACATACCATGAGATTCGGGCATCTTTAGGCATAAGCATGAGTCAAATATAATCAATACTACACAAACATTTGGGTGTGAAAAAGCTGTGCTCTCAGTGGATCCCACACAATTTGACTGAGGCTCTGAAAACGGATCGCGTCACTTGGTGCAATGCCATGCTTACCAGATTCAACGAAGGGACGTCAAAGTTGGTGTGGGACATAGTAACAGATGACGAAACATGGATTTATAGTTACGATCCCAAAACAAAGCAGCAATCTAGCGTATGGGTCTTTCGAGATGAGCCGAAACCACCAAAACAACTACCAAAGTGGCGCGCGTACAAAGTGCCTCTAAGCGGCTGATTGCTTCTTTTTTTAATAAAACTGGAATCGTTGTACCGTGAATAGTGATTGATACACGACCATTTGTTTGCCGGAAGTTATTGACAAACTCCGTAAAAATAACCGTAAACGTCGTATTATCTTGCAGCACGATAGTGCCACTTCTGACACGACCAGACAGACAAATGAATTTTTGAAGGTGAACCACGTTGACCTTATGAGCCATCCTGCGTACAGTCCCGACCTGGCACCTTGTGAATTTTATTTATTTCCAAAAATTAAGAATCAGTTACGCGGTCAACGATTTTCATCACTTGAAGAGAAATATGAAAAATATGTTTCAGAGATTGTGACGGAGGAGTGGCATAAATGGTTTCAAAATTGGTTCATTCATATGAAAAAGTGCATTAACGCTAACGAAGAATATTTCGAGAAATAAATTCATTTCTGACCATTTTTAGTATTTTTTTCTTATTAGTTCCGGAAACTTATAGTGCGCCACACTTTTAATGCAGTTTTATAGAATTTTCAAAAAACAATATAAAAATCAATATAAATATTGATAAATCACGTTCTTTTACTTGCTTGGCTTTTTACGTTTGATGTGTTCTTTTTTGATATTGAACCGATATTACGAAATTAATCATGTGAAAAAAATCTTTCTTTTTTTATTTGAAGTAGGAGGCAAATAAGCAGTAGGGCCACTTGATGAGAGGTGGTCATCGAAGCCCATGGACATCTGCAACATCAGATGAGCTGCCCATGCGTTGCCAGCCTTTGAGAGCCCTGTTGACACGCTTTTTGAATAACTCCATGTCTAAGCATAAAGGAAAATACTTCAGGAGAAAAATCATTCCACATCTTGCAGGTTGGAGAAAGGAACGAACATGATACCCGCGTGGTTTTACAATTACAGGCATCTATGATGTAAGGATGGGCTCTACTTCTTTGGCGGCAGGTGCGATGGTGGATTTGAGACAGTGCTATCAGTTCGAAAAGTTCCTCTGAAAGAACACACACAGAGAGTGTGTGAGTTAAAACCACCTGTGAGTTTGGGCTCATTATATGTGAAATTAAATTCCCTATAGGGTTTCCCTAGTGCTATGTTGAGTGTGTGCGTTATTATTATAAATCAAATATTGAAATGCAGTCTCCGATTTGTGCGACATGACACTGCCAATCAATGAGACGACTGCATTTCAAATCCATTTTTTCAATTGGTCCTAGAAAGGTAGTTTATGAGCATTCATCTGCAAAACTTAGGGCGCCATTGTACACAGGAACAGTATATAAAAAAGAGAAAAAGAGTGAATTCTGAGGCTGGCCAGCCAGTTCCGTTTGTAATCTCATCTTTCTCACTAACTATATACTTACTTGGCCAAAGCTGTACCAGTGCACGTAACTTTCACATTATCTGAATTTTCAAGTGTGAAGACTTTATCGCTAGTGATCATTGTGGACTTTGAGTCAACGTAGTAGTCACGATCGGTCTTGTGAATGATATCATAAAAGTAACATTTTATATCCTTAGTTGAATTCAATATACTCGGGGTTACCGCGCATTTACTAAGCTGAAAAAAGAATATTTTAATTATTTTAGTAGCCGTAGAGAACGAGTTCGTCCGAGGAAGTACTGCCACCATATCTGTTACTGCCACCAAGCAGTAATGAGAGCATTACTGCGTTCCGGATTTGAAGGGACTTGTCAACTTTATCTACTTTATGTACCGTACTAAGTAATGTTTCGAGCTTTAAATACCATATACTTACCACAAAATTGAGAGACGATGATGATTTGGAGCGACAGAGGCGGACTATAGCCATGAAGAGTAACATGTTGGCGCGTCGATTCGCTCATTGCACCGTTCAAGTAAAAATAACTCTGTTTAGGGCTTACTGTCAGGCGTTCTACACTAGTCAGTTGTGGTACCATTACACTAAGCGAGCTTTTGATAGATCCAGAGTTCAGTACAATAATGCATTTCGCGCTATGCTGTGGCTGCCCTGGCGGTGTAGTGCGTCTGGCATGTTTGCCGTGAATAGAGTAGACGATTTTTTCGCCATAATACGGAAGAGATATCGGTCTTTTCTTGTGAGAGTGAGCGATTCGGCCAATATAATTATAAGAACAGTATGCGATGCGTGCTACTTTGTAAGTGACCACTCCATTTTTAAAATTTAAATAAATTAATTTTTGTTATACTATTATTTCTAATGTGAATTCAATTCAATTTAATGTAATTCTCAATTATGTACTTCATTAATAATTATAATATTCGGTACATAAAATTCAATTCAATTGGTTATGTAATGTAATGTAACGTAATGTAATTAATAATGTTAAATTTATTAATGGGTGTATACCTAAATAAAGAAACATTTTATTTTATTTTATTTATTTTATGTCCAAGTGGCACTTCTACTATTGTTGGTAGTCATGTCACTTACCAGATCCACGACTTATTCGTCTCATTCATTAATGTCACTAAAAAAATACAAACATTCTCGGCGCTGCGTAATAGGGATCACTTGGTTAAGAAGTAACAGTTGATTAAAAGGCCGTGGTAGCCGAATGGTATAACTTATAGCCTCTCAAGCTGAGGGGGTGGGCTCGAATCTGGACTCGCACGTCTGAGTTTCTCGGAATTTATGTGCGAAATTGAATTTGGAATTTATGTGCGAAACTGAATTTGAAATTTACCATGAGCATTTCTGGGACGTCGAAAAAGGTTCACAACTCTCGGAAACCGTGTGAAATCCCCAACCTGCATTAGGCCAGTGTGGCTGACTGTGGCTTAAAGCCTCGCCTGTGTGAAGACCCGTGCCCAACAGTGGCATTAATAAAAGGTGATAGTTAACACGCAGATTATGTCACTGCTTCAAGTTAATCCTGAGACATAAAATCCAACAAAGTCCCATGGACCTGTACTTGCGCCAGCTCCCATTATTGCTACACGACAGCAATAGGTACGGTGGCAGTACCTTCTTGAACGAACGCTTTTACAACTACTATATTTTAAGCAACGTGAGTCACAAATACTAAGAAACCAATTGTTATAGATATGAGATCTAATATATTCTCTCCTTAGATATTTACAACGGTTATGTGCGTTATATTGTAGACCAGTAAAAGAAGGGGTAAAAGGGCAACAAGAAGGCCCAAAAATGCTTGTATTCGTATACATATCCAATGCTTTATAAGCAGTTAAAATACGTGAGGTTTACATGATTGAGTATTTGAGGTTTACGATGCACACGTCCTTTCTCTTCGAGAATTTTGATGGGAGTGACGACGGAAGGAACCAAAGTAAAATTAACGAACAAAAGTAATTAGGGGCCGATTCAAAATTTAAAATCTAACTGGCCAGGAAACAGAAAAGAGGGTGATAAAAAGGTGAGATGACTATGTAGGAGATGACGTCGTAAACTGATGACGTCGCTCCTCTGAGAAGAGGGTTTAGGGTATCACGCCGCACAGGTTGATTTAAAAATTAAAAATTAAATAAATACTAAGTCAAAAATTGTGAAAAACTTACGTTACATTTGACCCAATCCAGGTCATCGCACACAATTTGGGATAAATTCCGATTGAACACCATGATCTCGGGCGAAAAAGGATCCAGCTTTGGAACAAAGCATCCTGTGCGTTTGTCTTTCTTCAGAGATTGTTCTAGAGCACGTTGTTTTTCCCTGTCAGTATCAATATGACAATAAGTCAAGAACAGCAAAAATCGAAGTAAGTTACCTCTCACGGGCGCTGCCAGTTCGTTGCAACGTGGTTGCAACGCTATGATTTCAACGCACCAATTAATACGGACGTAAGTCTACCTTAATTGTGAACGGTAGTGTTGAGACATGATTCAACATCATTTTAGAAACTTCAAATTAAGGAAATATATTTTCAGAAAATTTAAACAAAAATTATTTAGAAACAGAACTATTCCTAAAACAATATAGTTTAAAAAAATAAAACTTACTTTATAAGCTCACTGAAACACAAAAAAAAATGTTATTAAAATATACGTAAACAAGTAATTGCAACAACCAATATTAAAAGCGACTTGACATGGCTTCAAATACAGGAAATAATAAATTAAATATTGGAAATTAACTATTTCTCGAAATCAAAATAGCGTCTATCTATAATTTCAAACACACCAACGTGTCTAGCTCTTTGCAAGTCCCATGGTCAGTCAGTTGTGATCATAACACCTATAAAGAGACCGGAACGTACAATACGCAGTTTAGATCCGGCAAAATTACGTACCCTTGGTATAACAAAGCTACATGTGATCATATGTAAAAGTGATAAAAATAATACGAACTATATTATGAATTTTTTTAACTCTCCATTTCAAAGCGAGTCACTGGAGGAGAAGCGGGAATGAATAAACTTTGTACATAATCGAGTTCTTAGGTTTTCGCGATTGTTACACATAGGAAATGAAATTATTTTTCCGGATTTAAATCGCGTATATTTGTTTTTTCAAACAAACCGACGTTTCGGGCCCTTTACAGGTCCCATGGTCACTGACGAAGACTGTACCACCTCAGTCAACCGTACAATACATCCGTACAATACGGATGTATTGTACGTACTGTTAACTATCACGTAGGTAACTGGCAAAGAATCTGCAGTTTAGGCGAGAAGCCACTACACAACTTATTTAAAAGCACATCTACATGGTCGAAAGCTTTTCGAAAGTCAAGGTACAAGACGTCAACTAGTATTCCCAGACGTTCGTAAATGAAATCAACCAGGTTCAACAGGTTTGTTTGTAGAGATCGGCCTAAAACCATGTTGTGAATCACAGAGAAAGGGTTGTAGCTACAAGTCTATCTAAAATAGATTCAAATAGCATAGTCGGTTGGTTGGTTGGTTATATCGAAGAGAAAATGGCTATCGGTCAGTAGTTTTCTGATTGTGTCGTTTGACTTGGGAATAGAACGTACTCGTGTAACCTTCCATTCTTTACATCCTTTTAATATAAATGCAGGAAAACTATCTGCACCTGAGGAGCTTTGAGATATCAGATTGGATATGCCAGTTTCGATATCTCATAGCGATATTATTTTATCGATATTAATATAATTTGCAGAACTGGATATGTCTTCACGAGTAATCTTTTCATGGTTAAGGAGAGGTTTGCGAGGCAGAAATACACTAGAGAAAAGAGTCGAGATGGCTTGAGCAGCCTCTCCACCTTCATAATATTTCCCTTCGTATGAAACCATAGTTTCAAATCCACCTTTGGTATTTAACCTGCTCATATATTGCCAGAAGGAAGGAATGATAAGTTTGAATACGCCTAACGTAACTATCGTATACTAGTGATATTTGCAGTTTAATATCTGCCCTGAGCCTAGAAAAACTAGCATATACAGCACGGTCGCCAGTACGTTTCCACTATCGACGAAGATTGGCTTTCTGCTTAATGTCTCTGATTAGGTACGCAGTGAACTAGATCAGGTACCGTCTACAAGGCATACTACGTCCTATCTTTATAAGTATGCATGGGTCGAATATACCATACATTAACCGATAAACATTCTCTACAGCGACATTGGAATCACGGGTCTTTGTATGGCAATGCTAATGCTTTGGACAAAGTAGTCTTTGTCTATTAATTTTTTGAATAAAATTTTGTACAGATGAAGGGTACCGGGACCCCACGGGTCAAGGGTTTCGGCTCCAAAGGCTGTAAATAGGTAGTTGGAGGCGAGGTCCTGGTACTTATTGACTTTGTATTCCTTCCGCCAGCTCAGCTGCGGAGCCAGCCTTCTTACTGGTGTGCTGGAGATGGGATTTTGTTGTTTATTATTTTAGTAATATAGTCCTGTGAGCTTATTAGTTCAACCCTGTTTATAGTTTCGGAGTACAATGTCTCCGATATATTAATAGATACACCTGACTTAATAATTGAGTTTCCTAAGGTATAACGGAACCCTATTCAATACCTTCTCGCAGAATTTTTCTTGACGTTTGATGATTTGCCCGTCAAAAATAGACTGAAGTAATACGACGCCAACACGAGTAGACCGAGACCTATCATCGGTAATAGCATCGACATCTGAAAAAAAACGACTACATTTAATGCAATACACCGAGCATTCAAAGCTCGAAAGAAATGTATACTTTAATAAAATTGAAAATTGGTTCTCGTAAATTTTTACTTATTTATTTATTTATGATCAGGTTACAAAGACCTATAAATATATCAACCTTAAAGACTGACGTACATAATAATTTAATAATAGTATTTATTTATTTACATTGTGGACCGCGACGTATGACGCAACGTGAGCGTCTGGTAACCGTCCTCGGAAAAGATGGCACATGACACCCTTCGCCCAAAAGTCTTCCTTCATAAAGATCGACAAATGTTAAGTTGTTACTCTCACTACAAATTAATTAGATGAAACTGCTCGATCGTCAGGGCAGCATTGGCTTTCACTAGTATGTACTCCACAATACGCGCAGACTTTGTGGAGTAATGAAGTCGTAACGCGTATAGTAACGTCTTCGGTACCGCTGAACGCAATAGATGATTGGGGCATATCCGAGCGGTGCCACTAAGGTTACGGCTGGTGTATTTCTTTTTCTAAAGAAGTAAAGCTTCATATTACTGTTAAAGACAGAATGCCTAACAATACAGTAAGAGAGCGTTGTGGTATGATAAATGATCGGGATAAAGAAGGAGATGCTTCGAAGGTTAGATCATGTAGAAAGAATTAAAGTTGGTAGATTGACGGCACTTTATAGAACGAATGAGGAGCTGGGAGAGGTATCGTTTGTAGGCTATACAATACTGAAAACTACGTGTTCGTGGTGTGAAAAACGGCCGTGACGGCCAAACGGCAGATGTAGGCGAAATAAGGCAAAATAGAGGCCGAACTGTCAACCTTTTGAATATCTTTATTTCTTAGCCGAATCTGGCCGTGTATGGACTTGAAACCCAACGCACATATCGCAATCAGATTAGAGATGTCCATAAAAAATGCCGCATCAAAAGCATCAGGAATATACAGGCATGAATAAAGGGATTGATAGGAGTGGAGGAGGTCTATGATCTCTGCCTACCCCGGTGGGAGATAGGTAGATGGTAGCTGGAGGAACCGAAAAAACCAAGAGCTAGAGGACATCGTATCGTGGGATAAATCAAGTCTTGAACACTCTGTTGGCTCGGACACCTAGAAAGGATGCCAGCTCATAGGGCGGTGACATGAGACGCCCTAGAAGTTGACGACCGTTTGGTCGGCCCAATTACCAATGAACGAAGTGGTGAAAGACCTCCGCGTCTTGCACGCAGAGAACAAGGAGAACATCGCACTAGATAGGGTGCTCTCGATGACGCTGATATTTGAATTTACCGCGCAAAATTTCGACATTTTCATCTTTGAATCGTAGCAGCAATAGTTTGATTGGCTCAACATTTATTTCCTTATTATATCCCTTACCACACATACGTAATTAGCACACAAGAGCAAGACAACGTCACCCAACTGATACACTTAGCAGACGAAGAAGAGAACCCTCGCTTCCGCCAAGTCGATCTTTCGCCTACGAATGCAACAATGGCCTCCGTTAATTTATTGTGAAAAATTATAGTGAAACCATAATCAACTGAAAACTATAGTGAACGTACGTTTTGGTAAAGTTGTAACATCAAGAATCGCTGCCTGGGCGGGGCAAGGAATCGGGATCGCTCAAACCGGTACGCGGTTGGTTTCAAGAAGTATTGTGCTCCCAGCTTACCTACTCTTATTTGTTCCAATCAACCATACTTCTTTATTCATATACAGTCCACAAATTGAAGACATCGTTTGCATTCCCCGCATGGTTGGCCGGTTTGGGCTACCCGCAACTAAATCGCGCCACCAGTAAGTAGGTGAAGTTTTCGTCTACATTTTAGTCTATATCTATTACTACGTAGGCATTAAAATACCCGTCACTACGAAAATAAAAATGAATCTCCAGCAACTACAAAAATGTTACTTACTGTGTTACAAAATTATATGGTAGAGTACACTTCCAGTGATAGTGTCAAGTGAAGGCGAAAAAGTCTTTCATTTCTTATTTATAGCACTTATAATTGAACAGACAAAGGTACATCATATCAATTATAAAATATTTTTAAAATCAGTTGCATTGTCTCGGAATCCTGTTACACATAATCTATGAATGACGTACTTATCAAGTTTTCAATAACAAATTGAAAAAAAATGAGTTGTTTTTGAAATATGTTTTCATTATAGGGATAAAAATTATCTTTTGGTTGTAGATTACTACAGTAAATATGTTGAAGTTTCCAAAATAAAAAATTTAAACACTGTTATAACAATTGAACATTTAAAATTTATATTTTGTAGATTTGGCATACCTGATATTTTGTATACAGATGGAGGAAGAAATTTTTGTAGTGCTAAGTTTAAATAATTTGTTATGAAATGCAATTTTATACATAAAACAAGTGGCCCTATGTATCCTCAGTCCAATGGACTTGCGGAGCGTTACATTGAAACTGTAAAAAAAATATTTAAGAAAGCAGATTATGAAGGTAAAGAAAAATATTTAGCTTTACTAGAATATAGGAACACCCTTAGAATAATAACGTATAGAAACCTAGTCCGCACACGCTAAGTGTGGCAAATTGAAGCGCTCCCAAAGGGCCTACACGAGCGGGCGGGCCGTCAGTGCTCAAGGTCAACTTGCACCGCGAACAGCTCAAGAATTTTAGCTAAAAATAACGAAATGTGCGGTAAATGAGTGTAAAAATACGTCAGACAAACATAAAATAGATACTAACATCATATTCCACAAGGAAGTAACGCGATTCAACTTGTATTTTTATATAAATATTCACTAAAACCGAAAATTAACCTACTTCTAAAACTAGGATAAATTAATTTGATTTTTGCCTCACTTGTGACAGTTCGTTTGATATGAAACTATCATTCTATGCGTTATTATTCTAAGGGAACACCTAACTAACGAGAAGGAAAATACAAGGGCTTTTACCTGACTTTAAAAAGGTCAGTTCCAAATATGTTACAGTACAAAATATATTGTATAATAATGCTTTTATGCAAAAATTTTATAATGATAGACAAACCATAAAATTGGCAGATTTAAAAAATGGCCAGAATTTTGTACTGTTAGATTACAAAAAGCCTAATTGTTATACTGAAATAAAATCAAAAGATGTAAGACCTAATTCGTATAAATTGTTAACTGAGACTGGACAAGAGTTAGAGGGAAACAGAAATATATTTTTGTGCTAGTAAGAATCAAGAAAGAATGCAAATTAGGAGTAGGGATGAAGGTAATGACTGTGTTACAAATACTAGAAATTCGAACCCAAAAGATAATGAAAGTATTACAAATGTTCTGAAAAAACCTTCTGAAAAAGTAAATAATGAAGAGCCGTTAAGAAATGAACCTTATGTAACTAGGAGTGGCACGGTTGTAAAAAAGCACAGTTATTATTTGTACGAGTAGGCATCACCATTTTGTTTTGTATTTTGTTCTACTAAGTCTATAAGTTTCTAAATAAATATAAGTTTCTAAATAAATGTAAGTTTCTAAATAAATGTAAGTTTTTAAATAAATGTAAGAGTCTGAATAAGTGTACGTTAATAAGAATTAAATTTAAGTTTAAAAATTTTGTTGCGTAGTTAAATTCAAGTTCTTGTAAGTTTAAGTTCAGTTTTATTTTAAGTTTGAAAGGAAAGGGGATGTCATAGTGAGATACATCCCTAGTCGATTGTACAGCTCTAGGGTAAGAACGAATAACTATTGTCTGTGATTTTGAATACACTTCACTTTTACATCTATGGTCACCGGTGTTTTACTTAATAAATTCCATCCTATAATATCTTGTTTAATAGTTATGTTCAATCGAACTAGTATATACATATACGTAGGGCACTCAATAAGTTTTGAGATACTCGAAATTTAAAAATGGAACGCACCCGTATTATATGTTTTTAAAAAGCAAATTTATTTAAAAATAGATCACCAAAAGCAATTTAGCTAAATTAAAAAAAAATGACATTGTTAGTCATTTTACTACAACGCTTCCCGCGCTTTTTCTTTGCAATAATGGATCTTAACTGTAAACATTTGCTATGATGCTTGCTGTGCTATGATCTTCTATGATTTTAAATGCGGTTTAACTGAACAATTGAGTTTGGAACGTTTGCAGTCAGCATTAGATGACTCTGCTCCTTTTCGTGCAACGTTTTTAGGTGGTTTAAGGAATTTAAAGGAGGCAAAACTAACCTTGAAGATGACCTAAGAGGCGGACGCCCGGAAACAGCAGTTACTGCAGAAAATGTGTGGACATCTGAAATTTTGGTGCGAGAAGATCCACGAATCACGTACACGAACATTGAGAAGATCCTAGGCATTAGTTCAGGGAGCGTCAATACTATCCTGCATCAACATCTTGGAGTGAGGAAGCTTTGTTGTCGATGGATCCCACGATTGCTCTCCGGTACTGAAAAACAGGCTCGAGTGGAATGGTGCCGAGAAATGCTTATACGTTTCGAAAACGGGACATCGAGACGTGTTTCAGAAATCGTTACTGGTGATGAAACATGGATCTATCAATATGATCCAGAAAGCAAGAAGTAGTCGTCGGTGTGGGTCTTGGCGGAGGGACAATTACCGACAAAGTTGCAAAGACCTCGAAACGTCGGCAAAAAAATGGTAGCTAGTTTTTTTTCTCGGAGCGGACATTTGTCGACGTCAATGTTAGAAAATAGTAGGTCTGTTAATTCAGAATGGTACACAACAGTAGCATTGCCAAAAGTTTTCCAAGCTGTGCGGGAGAGGAGACCAAAGACCGGGCTTTGGGGAATCATGCTGCATCACGATAACGCCTCTTCACATACGTCCCTCAGAACAAAGGCGTTTATTAAGGAATCTGGTATAGAAACCTTAAATCACCCGCCGTACAGCCCTGACTTGGCTCCCCGCGATTTCTTTTTGTTCCCAACAGTGAAGGAAAAATCAAAGGAATTTTTTTTAATGTCGAAGAAGCAGTGGCTGCCTACGAAATGGCAATTTCAATGCTGACAGATCAAGACTGGCAAAAGTGTTTTCAGAGTTGGTTTAGACGAATGAAACTTTGTGTAGATAATGATGGAGAGTATTTTGAAAAAATGTGAAATAAATTATATTAATATGTTTGATATTTTTTCTTTATCTCAAAACTTATTGAGTGACCTACGTATTATATAGGTGTAAGCAATGACTGCATGTATTCCCTCATCTTTATAACCAGGCTGTAATAAATCATCTTTGTAACGAGAGGCTGTGTTTTTACTTCGCTCCTAGCCCTCACCCTACGTTAGAAAAAAATATTTATGTGGCATCATTTTTAACCGACTTCAAAAAAGGAGGTTCTCAATTAGACTATGTTCTTTTTTTTGTATGTATGTTACGCGATAACTCCGGTATTTGTGAACCGATTTTCATGATTCTTTTTTGTTGGAAAGGGGGTACTTCCATAGTGCTCCCATTTCATTTTAAAGAAAATCATCCATCTCGAAGGGTCGCTGTTCACGCATGAAGGTTCATTTTATAAATAGCGCCTAACTTTAATTTAGGAGCAATTACTTTAATGGTTGATTTTGCTATTTCTCCAATTCAAGGCGTTTTTCTCTCAATATACTTTGAGTGTCGTAGTGAGAACCTATTTTTATTATCTCCAGTGTCAAGTCCTGTATAGTGGCGAGCTAGGGGATATTTCAATAAAACTTAGTAAATAGACGTAATTCCACGTACTTTTGGGGTCAGTTTTTTTAGTACTCTGTACTGAGATATCGTGAAATAAATATTAAATAAAGCTTAATGACCAAACCTAAAAGCCCAAAATTGTCCCCATTCAGCACTTGACACTGTCGATAATCATAAGAAAAACAAGTTTTAAAAGACATTAAAATAACAGAAACAGTTTTATATTATTTTCCATCCGTGTCGCACAGACGGGAAAACAAAAGGAAAGAGAAGGAGAGAAAGCTCGAGAATGGCGATAAATGAGCATATAAAAAAGAAGATCAAAGTGACTAGCTATAAAAAGGTCAAAGAGCTGGTTAGCTGGTTATGGATCGTGAAGAATGGAGAGGCTATACAGACAAGCCCTGGCTTTCAAAAAGGATGATAAAATAATGACAATACAACCTCAAATGGCTTTAGTTGTTTTCGCATAAAAGTGAAAGTGTTGAATCAATCTTTTTTGAATAAATATATAGTAAAATTAAGGATATACACTGATTAGTTTGAAAACACGATTCCTAAAAAATTTCACGACAGACAAAAAAAACACTACTTACTTCGAAATTTTACAAAAAAACCGCTGTATTTGAGAGTTACTTTTGTGCTCGTTCGCAGGCAGCCAAATTGTCTGTGAGTGACGGCTCCAGTGTGGTCTCCGGTTTTCTTCAAGTATATCGTGGAGTGCCACAAGGTTCATTACTGGGACCACGACTATTTGTCATTTACAGTGCTGATTTGCCTAGAGTTATAAAGCATTGTAGGTACCATTGTTATGCAGATGACGTTCAGTTGTATATATCAGTGAATCCTAATAATTTATGCGAAGCGCAGACACGCATGAACGATGATCTTGAGAGAGTTGCTTAGTGGTCTGCTCGGTATGCACTAATTCTAAATCCGATGAAGTCCAAGTTTATTGTATTTGGTAGTAAAAAGCAAATCAGACATCGTAGACAGTGAACCACATATCGAGATCGCGGGTAGTGATGTGACTCGAGTAACAAAGGCGTTTTGAAAGTCACGTACTAGATCAAGTTAGGAACTGCTTTTATTGTCTTAAAATTTTATACAAAGTACGTAATTCTTTAAGTGAGCATGCTCGTATTACCTACCATCTGCAAATCACTGATCCTTTTTAAACTGAATCACGGAGATATAGTTTACGGTCCTCGTTTGTTGAGTAAAGCCCTACACCTGATTCAACGTGTACAAAATGCTTGTTGTCGATTTTGCTTCTAAATCCCACCTCGCACCCAAATCACGCCATATTTAACCAATGCAAACATATTAAATAAAGTTCCAAAAACCAGAGTACTTGTATGGAAAGTTAAAATTCTCCACGTTTCACAACAAATTTTCTATTAGAACCGAGACCTGTTAGACCTCTGTTAGCAGGACAAATTCATCGCACTGTGGCCTTTACTGGAAGCTTCCGCTATCAAGCTACAAAGTGTTGGAATAATATTCCAATCCCGCTTAAAACTAAGTTTACATTTGAAAAAACATTTGAGGGAATTTATTTTTGATAAGCAAAAACTGGGTATTCCCAAACGCTTTACATAGCGGAGGCTTCTAGAATGAAGTCCCTTTACTTCATAGACATTTATTATCATTTTATGTTACAATGACTCTCATCGCTATTAAGTACTGGTTATTATTATTTTATTTTAATTATGTCAATCATGAATTTGTATTACAATTTTTTACTGAATTTTTTTTAGTTACTAATTCATTATTTTTTTACATAGTACTCACGTGATACTAACACATATGCACACTACATTCACCTCACAATGTTTTTGCTGTTGATGCACCGAAACGCGCAACCCTCAAAAGTGGTGGCTTAAAATCAGTGCCTTGCTGTTGGGCAAATTTTGCTCTGGGCCACGACCTATTTGGCTTGCTTTAGCACACACAAACTGTTAATCATTAGCTTAGTATTTTTTTTTCTTTAATTTTGATTTCTGTGTGTCTCTTTTAATCAATTTACTCTATTATATTGTTGTGTGTGTGTGATACAAGACAATAAACATTTTATCTATCTACCTCATTTGAACTTGCAGCACCTTTTATATAAAGCACTTGTGATTTGAGCTCTTTATGCTGTATTTCGCCCAAATTTTAATTTTCTTTTCAGCTAACATATGCGATTTTTTTTAATAACTCTTCCAATTAATCGATATGATGTGTTTTGAGCATAGGTCGGAAAAAGGTGTAGATGATGGTGCTAATGATTGTGATGGTGCGGGTGGTGTTGATGATGCAGATAATGCTAATGGTTCTGTTGATGCTGATGATTGTGCTCAAGGTGCTGATAATGCTGGTGGTGCTGATGATTCTGATAGTGCTGATGCTGTCGATCGACCGTAGCAATCGGAAATGTCAAGCAAATCTGTAGGGACCTTTAATGTGAATCGTATTCACGCTATATATATTTCACGAAATATTTGTAGAAATAGCGTTATTTGAACTGATCAGTTGCACATTACTGTCCATGATAGAACACTGGCGGAAGGCGAAGTAGATTATGCTGATTATGCGGTTGATGTTAATGGTGCTGATTCTGATGGTGCTGACGATGCTGATGATTATGCTAAAGGTGCTGAAGATGCGGGTGATACAGATGGTGCTGATTATTCTGATAGTGCTGATGCTGTCGATGGACAGTAACGATCGAAAATGTCGAGCAAATCTGTAGGGACCATTAATGTGAATTGTGTTCACGCAATATTTCGCGAAATATTCGTAGAAATTGCATTATTACTCAATCAAGTCAATCATCATGTGGTCAGTTGCACATTGTTGTGCATGACAGAACAATGGCGGAAGGCGAAGTAGAATTATTGTAGCAAATAAATACTTTAACATTTAAAAAATAATATTTGTTTAATAAGTTGCAAAAGGCTTGTGATTTGTCCAAAACAGTTAAATTGGAAAGTTTAGACTCGGTTCAGAACTTTATGGTACTTCAGAGCTCGGTGACACACGTTGCGACTTCGAGAAAATTGTTATGGAAATTATTATGCTTGAAATGCAGTCAAACCCTAAAGTTAAACCTTCTATAAGCCCATTAAATAGTTTCGATGATTTGTATTACGCTTCTAAGAAAGTGGCTTTGAACTGCAGCCATATAGGTCAGGAGCCAACATAAATTTCAAACTCAAAAGATAGATGATTGTCTAGCTAGGCCGGTCTTACCGAAACTAATTTTATTCGAATTTGATGGTCATGTGGAAAATTCGACCACATTTCATGATACTTTTGTGTCCTTGGTTCACAGACGTAATTTCGAAAACATAGATAATAAGTACAGTGTTGCAGAGGCTGGGAAGTAAGGGATTGCTGGACGAGTGTGAGTTACAAGGACGACGTTACGACGCGCCGGTATTCTGCCTGTGTTATTCAATCTACCGAATTCCCCGCATACTGACTGAAACGAAACTAGCAGTGTGGTGTCGTCGGTGTTGACATTGGCTGTCAGTGTTGCTGAAAAAAATCCAACTTTTGCTTGAAATTATATAATTATTTCTTTCCGTTTAACTCTTCTATTTCTATTGCTGATCACGTTATAACATATACGAACAAGAACTGTGCCATCTTTCTGCCCAGTCGAAGATACAACCGCACCGCCTCAGTCGTAGTGAAGGGGGCAACGCGTGAGTACTTTACTGGCTCCCTAAACACAGTCCACCTGCAGCCGCGTGGCTCGGCCTCCTTACGCCACAGCCGTCACCATGACAACCATAATAAATGAACAAGTAACCCATAATCGAATCTCAAGTATAACAGTTTTTCTTCCAACCTTAAAAAGAGAGACTTTCTGTTTCCCTCTCAAGTGTATTGAAAATGCCATC